GATCCGAAACTACACATAAGTACCAACTATGAGGTGCACGTTAAGAAGAGGCAGTACTAATGCTAATAATCTTACAGCAAGTATTAATTATTGGTATTTCGGTCCCAGGGAAATATGGCAAATACTTTAAAAGCTCAATTTTTCCAACTCATTCCATTTTCTCAACAATCCTATGAGATAAGCAGCCTTATTAGCATCATTTTATAGTTGAAGAGACTCTGGCACAGAAAAATTAAATAACTGGTCAGAGTACATAGCTAGTGTGCAGCAAGCATGAGAATTGAATCCAAGCTAATCTCTAGTTCCTGAGGTCATAGCCCCAAACAATACCTAGAGAGAGGTAGAGGGGTAGTCTCTAAATGAACTCTCTTTGTTCAAATCCCATCACCACTTATTAGCTGTGTGGCCTGAGCAAGCGTTCGACTATGCTAAGCCTCAATGTCTTCAGCTATCAAGATGAGCATCATCCTATATAAGGAGGTCTGTGCTACTCGGTGGTTGTTAGTCTTTCATCAACGAGTACATGTACGTGAATAGGAATCCGCAGAATGGCATGCCATACCCATTGGCTTTGTGTCAATTCCCACTCATAAGGACCCTGCAGGCCAGAGGAGGACCACCTGCCCCACAGCTTTCCTGGGGTGCAATCTTTACAGGAGCAGCTCTCCAGTTCTCTGCTGTGTGGGTGCCAGCAGCTGACCGTTTATTCAGTCACTCCGCTCCCAGGGCTCTTGGAGGAGAATGCCGTTAATGGCTAATAAACTCTCAGTACAACTGCCAAAGTGCTCAGGCACAGAACTCAGCACACAGTAGGCTTTCAGAAACAGTAGCTAATATCATCTGGGGACCACTTGCAATTTCCCCCTGCCCTCGACAGCACATTGGTGTTGTTAGCTACTGTAGTGGGCTCCAACTTACAGTGGCCCTGGGAGTGCAGAGCAGAACTGCTCCACAGAGTTCTCCAGGCTGTGACCTTGAGAAAGCAGATCACCAGGCCTGACTTCTGAGACGGCCCCGGGTAGGTTTGAACGGGCTACCTTTTGGCTATGAGTTGAGTACTTAACTATCTATCCGCTTACAGCTGGGCAGTGGCAAAGTCTAACGCAGGTATCCAGGCAAGGGAGACTGCAAACGATCAGAGTCAAACCAGAGTTGGTAAAACAGCCTTGAAATAATTCCCCTCAAGATATCAGCTCACGTGGCTTGACACCTTCCCTGATAACAACTTGGTGCTACAATGAATGAAATCGGCCTTTAAAACAAATCCAGCATTGACTGCGTGTCTACTACATAGGTGCAGGGTAAAGCCTGAGGTAGGTGGAAGGAGGAAAGGCTTAAGAAATTAATTGTTTCAGAAAAGTGGGTGAAGGGAGACGTCAGACAGTATAAGACATGACAAAATAATAATTTATAAATTATCAAGGACTCATGGGGGGGCAGGGAGGGAGGGGAAAAAGGAGGAGCTGATACCAAGGGCTCAAGTAGAGAGCAAATGTTTTGAGAATGATGATGGCAACCAATATACAAATGTGTTTGACACAATGGATGGATGGATGGATGGATGGATGGATGGATTGTGATAAGAGTTGTATGAGCCCCCAATAAAATGATTTTTAAAAAATAAAGAAAGCACTCTTCAAATGAACAGGCAATAAAGTCATTCTTTTTCTGCTGGCAAAAAAGAAAAAAGACTATCAAGCAAAAATCCAAGATCAGAGGGGGAATTGGATCTAGCAGCGCTATGTGTGGCAGTCTCAGCCCTTTCCCTCGTTTACAAAGTTAGCTCTGCCTCTTCCCCGTCCTTGTCAATCAGCATCAGTCCTTCTGATGCACGTACCCCACAGTGGCCTGAAAGACCCAGAAAGAATAGTGCTGGGGACTCGGAAAAAAATAGAAAACAAAAAGAAGAAATTAACTGTTTCATTGTGGCTATAATGAAAGATGCATGAAAAGATAGAAAACGGGAAGGGGGGAAAAAAGGAATAGCAACTGAAAGGTACTACAGCTAAAATCAACTGACGTTTCTAGCAAGATTGCTCTGCTGGGCTATGCTAAGGCGATGAAGGCAGCGCAGGGCCAGGAGAGATGGAAGAGCAAGGCGCTATCTATCCCAGGGGAAGAGGTGCAAGGAGACAGAAAGAGTGAACCTATGCCAGGACGCTAATCAGGCCAGTTATTGTGGACTAGAAAGTGTGGAAGAAAATAGCAAGAGGTAATGCTAGAAAAGTAGGCAAGGCTAGATGAGGAGAGCCTGGAATGGCATGTTTAGTTACAGGCCAACATTGTCTTTCCCCTCTGGGTCAGAAAAGCACTGGCAAAGAGGTTTACTCTAGACCAGGGGTTGGTAAACTGTGGCTCGTGAGCTATATGTAGCTCTTTCTGGATGTACATGTGGCTCTCAAGTAAAACTGAAAAAAAGATTTAAGGACATTATTCAGATACTGGTGATTTCATTTGTAGAAATATATTTATGGCTCTCAAATAATTTTTAAATTGTTGTGAGGGACAGGATTGGTGCTTCTGTCTCAAAAGTTTGCTGACCCCTGCTGCTGACAGTCTAAAACATTTTACTTGCTTGTGTGATTTTTTGTTTTTTTAATCATTTTATTGGGGGCTCATACAACTCTTATCACAATCCATACATACATCCATTGTGTCAAGCACATTTGTACATTTGTTGCTCTTGGTGGTAAAACTGCTCCATAGAGTTTTTCTCATTGTAATCTTTTTTTAGATTTTATTATTAATTGGGACTTAATGCATGTATCACACCATTCCGTAGTTCAATCACGTCAAGCAGAATTGTACAATTGCTACCACAATCAGTTTTCCAACATGTTTTATCTTCCTGGACCCCTTGACATCCTCTACCTTTCATCCGCACCATCACTGTAACCCCACCCCCGAAATCCTGATTCCACTTGCTGTCCCAATAGGTTCATCAACCCTGGGTTTCATGTACTGAAACACAGAAAAACATATAATACAACATCAAGATGGTGACTATCAGTGACATAACATCTCTGAGATACACCCTAATCTGAACAAACACAAACAAGACAAAACGAAATCACAGAAAATGCTGAAAACCAGATCAGGTCCAGCAGGCACCAGAGGGGGGTCCACTGAGAAAGTTTCAACCATTCAAGTCAGACTTGTGCCTTTGATCCTCAGTTTGTGTGTTTTTAAACCTGATTTAGAAATACATCTTACTCATTATCTATATACCATTGACTCTTCCCATTTGCCTTTAATACGGAACCTCAATTTACAGCTCCACCCGGTGGCATCCACACATATTCTTCCCATGACTCAGAGGGAAATGAGCCTGTGCTCAGCCCTAGGTCAGATTTCCATAGGTGTAAGCCAATAATTGTGGCCCATCCCTGGTTCTTGTGAGGGATTTACGTGTGAAAGTGAAATCCAGCTCTAAGCAAGGAGATGAGGGGTCATCTGCATATATGGTTTGTGATAAGAGCTCTATGAGCCCCTAATAAATGATTTTTTTTAAAGGCCATCTGCTTTCAGGATAATGGAAGGCTCTGGAAAAAATATTTATTTTCCCCTACAAGGGAAATACAAGAAATGGTCCTTTCTCCCACTTCACTGATGTGTTGATTTTTGAGGCCCAGAGTAGCTGAAGCCTTGTGGGGGCTGCCTTGATTCCTATGCCCACACACAGGCGGAAGCAGAACTTGAGCCTCGATGTTCCGTACTGGGGGCCTGCCTGGTCCACGTTTCTTAGAATGTGAGGCACTAACTTTGTTCGTCGTGTAAGCCTTCCTTTAGTCTAGGGCTTCAAATACTGGAAGATGAAGGCATTTTAAATGGAAAGCAAAGGAATAAGAAACTGGAGCTATGGGCACGGCTGGGAAGGCCACTCGAAAGGGGAAGAGACCGTGCCCTGCAGAGGTGCCCGGGACAGCACGATGAGGCAGAGGCAGACTAGAGCTGTTCCAGAGGACCCACAAGAACGGAAATGTAATACGCACCAGACGAAAACTCTCTTACTGGACATCATGAAGACAATCTTTAAGAATTTACGAATCAGTTGACTGCACTCAAGATGACGTCAATATACTTCATAGTCCGTAATATACTTTATGATGTTCTTCACATTGTACAGGAAAACAAAGGCCTCGTGCCATAAACATCTTTCCCATCCAAAATAGGTCATGTTTGTCTCCAACACAAGGGAAACATTAGCATGTGTAACATGGGGTGGGGGGAGCTTTATGCATTTTAATTCCCCCAAAAGGAAAAAAGTAGACATCATCAACACATGTCCTTTCTCTGCACACGCATTACCCCACTGACTCCAAACCGTTCCGCCATCTCACCCAGCATTACCGCGAGTCCCTGGGTCACACTCAACAAAGAACTGAAAGGTTGGATTTACTTTTTGCCTTCTCGCTCTTCCGAGAGGGTCGCCAGCGGAGACGGGTGCGGTGTTCATCCAGGTAAAAGAGCCGAACGAGTCCTTTGGTCCCACGCTTCAGTTTGATCATCTGTGTCCCGGACTGCATTACACTCATGCATCTTTCAACTGTGAAAAGAGAGCCAAACATACTCAGTTCTTACACCACGCACAACGTTACCAGCGTTCAGAACCTCCCTGTCAGGTAACACTTCCGTGGAGTGACCTTCCCTTCCCCCAAAGACCCCAAAGGCCAGGAGGCAAATTTGGGAGAAGGCATCTGGAAACAGAGTTGAAAGGTATTCAGTCACCATGCTTAGATCCAGAAGAATCTTGACGAACGGAAATAAAAGTCCATTTCCAGGTGAACAAGACACACTGCTTCACAGAGCTGTCTTTGGCTTTCACTGGCTCGCTACGATTTTCTGGTGAGACTAATGACCGATCATCTGATCCTTGGACTTATGTTCATTAAAACAAGTTCTTATACATCATGTTAAATCTTCCAAGATGTTATATAGTCATTTGTATAAACACCTTCTTAAAAATAAAAACAGAAATGTGGCAAAAATGCTATCAACTATTGCAGCCAGATTATAGCAATATTCATATTTTGTGTTTATGTTTTAAAATCTTTCAGAAATGTCATTTTTATTATAACCAGAAATGTTTTCAAAACTGGACATAAAACATGCGCGGATAAACTAACTGCTAGAATTTTCCATCTAGGAGAATAGCCAGGCAATATGACTCAAGTAACATCCAAATCCTTATTGTCCAAGTTAAAGTCACCAATTTAAATCTGCTTCACTTCAAAATGAACCTCATTAAAAGTGAACATCTGCACCTTCCTGACACGATCACTGAAGACAAATGGGGGCATAAGCAAATGTGATGAAGAAAGTTGAAGGTGCCCAGCTATCAAAAGATATAGCATCTGGGGTCTTAAAGGCTTGAAGATACACAAGCGGCCATTTAGCTGAGAAGCAACAAAGCCCACATGGGAAGATGCACACCAGCCTATGTGATCACGAGGTGTTGAAGGGATCAGTTACCAGGCATCAAAGAACCAAAAAAAATCATATCATTGTGAATGAGGGGGAGTGCAGAGTGGGGACCCAAAGCCCATCTGTAGGCAACTGGACACCCCCTTCCAGATGAGCCAGTCAGGGTGCAGTGTAGCAACAATGAAACATACAACTTGCCTCTAGTTCTTCAATGCTTCCTCCCCCACCCCACACCCTGCCACACACACACTATCGTGATCCCAATTCTACCTTACAAATCTGGCTAGACCAGAGGATGTACACTGGTACAGACAGGAAATGGAAACACAGGGAATCCAGGGCAGATGATCCCTTCAAGACCAATGGTGAGAGTAGTGATAACGGGAGGGTGGAGGGAAGGTGGGGTAGAAAGGGGGAACCGATTACAAGGATCTACATATAAAGCCCTCCTTGGGGGACGGACAACAAAAAAGTGGGTGAAGGGAGACAGTGGACAGTGTAAGACATGACAAAATAATAATAATTTATAAAATATCAAGGGTTCAAGAGGGAGGGGGGAACAGGGAGGGAGTGGGAAAATGAGGAGCTGATACCAAGGGCTCAAGTAGAAAGCAAATGTTTTTAGAATGATGAGGGGAGCAAATATACAAATGTGCTTGACACAATAGATATATGTATGGGTTATGTTGAGTTGGACGAGCCCCCAGTAAAAGGATTTTATTTTAAAGTGAGCTTCTGGTTTTCCTGTTTCCCTTTCTTTCCATCATTGCACCTCATTTTTCCTTTGGAAACACTCCTCCTTCATTTCATGTGCCTTTGATAAACAGTTAATCACCCCTAAGGATTGGGCAACTGACCTAAGTTGAGAGTCAATTTGACCCCATCAAAGAACACAAACTTTGAGCAGAGTACTGACTGGAAACCAACACAAAGAGAGCGCATTGCTGTCAAAGTGGATCCAGTCCACAGTGACCCTGTAGGACAGTGTTTCCAATGCTGTATCTTTATGGAAGCAGTCACACTGATGGCCCACGGAGTAGCGGGAAGTTTGAGCCACCAGGTACTTAAAAAGATGCACCACCAAGACTCCTCACATGGAAGTAGCTCAGCCATTTGAAGGTTGAACTTACAAGACTTCTATCTGTCCACACCAAGAGGCCACCGTTTGTCCTGGCGCTTACAAATGACTCTGTTCTTCCCTTGATTCTGCAATCAATGCACTCACCAGCCCCCAAATAATGTTTTTTCTCATTAAATCAGTTAGAAATAGTTTTCAGTGCACGAAGATCTCTGAGTAGCCTCATACACAACCATGTATCCACAGCACTTGAAACTTCTGGTCCTGAGTTCTTACCTAATGCAGAGAGAACTGCTGGATAAAAGCAGCAAAGAAATAAACTTCAACAACTACAGACTCCAGGTTTTTTGGCTAAATGCCTTGTCTTTACTATGTAAAAATAAGTTCGTGCAAGAGATTAAGGTTCCATGTCCAAGGTACTCACTACAAGCAACTTCAGCATACCCAACGTTGGCTTGTTTAAATCGCCAAGAGTTGCCCATCACCCCACCAAGGAAATGTAGAAGGAACTTCGTAAGATCCAACACAGTCTCATGATTCGACATTACAGGGAAATGGAAACGAGTTGTCTTTACCCATTTTTTATACAAATCCAATACCCATTAAGCTAGAAGGTTTGTTGTGCCAACCTGGCCGAAAAACACATGTGGGATTAATTGAGGGGCGGAGAGATAAACAGCTCATTGAGCCTTGCCTTTCTAGTTCTCGGTTCTCTTGCTTTCTGATGGTCAGACCAGGGTTCTGCTGCCTTAGCCCGTACCCTGCTTCAGCTGGCAAGGCTTACTTCCTGCAAGATTTCCCTGAGGAGAAGCCACATGGAACTACCCCAATGCAGCCCTGGGTGCTGGAGCAGCCGTGTGGAGATCCCTGCCAGCGCTGAGATGCTTACACGCTCACTGGTTCTGCTTTTCTTCTGCAGTCAGCATCATTGCATGTGTTTTGTGAGATTGAGGAGGACTTTGTAGATTGTTATGGGCTAATGTTGGACTTATGGGCTAATAATGTTGGACTTATGGGCTTGGACAGCACTGGGTTGGGATACTTCCTTAATGTACACTTACCCTTTATATAAAAATCATATACATATGAGTTTCTGAGTATTTGTTTCTCCAGTCTGCCCAGACTAACACACCCATATAATAAAAATGTTGCTTAAGAAAACACACACACACACTTAAAATGTCGACTTTGAAGTACAGAACAAAATTTGAGAAATGGTTGCATATAATGAATAAATCCTCCCACTAATGAGTTCCATTGGTTTAGGTCATGAAAGCCATGACTAAATTCCTGGTTTCCCCATTAACCATTGCACAACAGTAATTAGAGCAAGAACAGAAACTGTATCAAGGCAGGGCCATCAGTTCCAATAACTTTAACAATAGACAAAAAAAGTGAATTCCAACTTACACCAATACCCAGGACAGAGCAGAACTGCCCTGTAGAACTTCCAAGCTATCAGCATCTGTACAAGAGCAAACGACCACATCTTTCTCCCACGGAGTTGCTGGTGCGTTCAAACCACCAGCCTTGTGTTTAGCAGGCAAGCAGTACCATCAAGGGCACCTACTGCTTTTGTCATTAGATATATAATTTATGTATAAATTATCATTTAATTATTGTTGAAATATTGTAAAATAAATGTTCCCACTAAAATATCATGGAACTCCATGGAGAAAAGAGGAGACAGTGGGCTGGAACTGGAATGGAGGGGTGTAGTAATAGAACTATCACCAACACTTGGCGACAAGAAGGA